AACGAAAATGAAAATTTGCTTGATAATTCAACTACGCTTGTTGGAGAACAATAAAAACACTACACTCAACAAGCCACCAATAAAACTCAACTGCCTAACCTATAACCAAAGTCTCCTTTTAATTTGTTTTTTAAAAAAAGCGCTTGACAAACTTGCCCCGCATGCCGAAGTTGCCCCGATCTCCCCTACAATAAAAAATAAAGTCAGATATAGCAATAGAAATAAAAAATAAAAATAAATCTACTAATAATACTTTAAATAAACATTGAAATGAATTGTTAAGGTATAATTGATCAAACATGTAACTATTAACTAAGGTAAGATTACGAGTTCATGGCAAACTTTTTGACTGTAAATTTCCACACCGTTGATAGGCCTTCTGTTTACCACAGCCCGCTTTACATCACATCGCAATCAAATGACCCGTACCGTTATAAGCTGGCAGCGTTCCGAGCTCTAATCAGCAGAGCCTTTCTGTGTTGTGACAGCGTTGTAGACAGAACAAAGGAAATCGACAGAATTGTACAAGTAGCCGAAGTCCTAGGATACAAAAAAGGCACAATAGCAGGAATAGTTAGAAAATACGAAAATAGACACAGCAAGAACTTCAAAACATGATCCTAGTGAAGTCACAAAGTTTACATATAACGAGAACACCGAAAAATATACGACTTTATGATTACTTTTAATTGATTGTAACACTGTCTTCGATTAATTTAAAATTTGGTTTTACAGGTATCAAATCTACGAAGTCCATTATAGTTTTTCCATAAAATCTGTATCGGTACAGAACCATAAACGCTGTAACTGTCTTATGCACAGTCCAAGTTCTAGATATCTTCTAGATTCTTGAATATTTTGGCTTTGCTAGCCAAGTGAAGATTCTTGTCAGTTAGAGAAAAGAACGTATCTTACAGTACGTAAATTGGCACGGACATGCGTCCGACATATTTTTATAATATAAAATTCTTGGTAAGAAAATATATCGAAAATTGTTATTCATTTTAAAAGAATAAAATTCGTTCTAATTGTCTTATTAACTCTAATTAATTTTTATTTCGATCATATTTTATTGTAACATAAACTGTTTAATACTTCACATCACTTTATAAACACGCGAAGCATACTTTTTTACGAAAGACAACAGCCGCACAAAAAGTATTTAGCCGGCAAAAGGAGAAGAAAGACGAAAGGAAGGAGTAGAATGAGGAGATAGAAAGAACAGAAAGAAAGGGTCCCTTTAAACGACGTACAGTACGTAAGGTATTACTTATACTGTACTACGTTTAATGTTGGCTTGCAGATTTTAGGCTGCAAAGCCGTGGGTGTGAAAGAAATGCTATAACTCAGGTTTTTTTTTTTAAACCTGAGTTATAGCATACACCAATAAGTAGTGCAGCTACATATAAGCTTGGTAGAGCAAAGTACAATGCTTGAAATTAAACTAGTTATGTAACGCTGTGTCAGCGTGTAACTACACGCTGACACAGTGTTACATAACTAGTTGGAGCGAGGCTGCTCGCACCTTCATTTTCTAGATTTTGAGGGAAAAAAGAGAGAAAGAATCATTCGTTCTCAACAATATATTTGATTTCTATTGTATCATTTAAAGGTACAAATATAAGGTCAGAATAAGCCATTAATTAATTGCTATTCTAACGTATCATGAAATTCTGTCTATCACTATGGGCCTTGGACTTACAATAAAGATCCCTACAAGTCAATCTGTAACTGTTTAAAAATACTATATCAGTTATTTTTTTCACTCGACTGAATGCAACATATCTAAGACCGATAGTTGTCTCTTTTTTACCTATATCTATTTTGATTTTTGGAAGAGTTAATAACTGTGATTTATGTATAGTCCTCGAGTATGCTAAGGTAAGGGAAAACTGTCTACGAGATCGCAATATACTGCCATCGTTCGAAGAGCGTGTTATGGGGATTATTGGAAACTGATTACCATAGATGAAAGGTCCCTGATAGCTATCGAATTCCACTAAAATAAACAGAGGAAGAGCTGGAGGGCGAGCATTAGGAGCATATATAATGTAGCGTATAGTTCCTAGAGAACCATTGACGAGATCTCCTTTCACCCATAAGTTGACTCTCAGCATGATTCTGGCATTAACTGAGAGATTCAAATACTTGGAGAGACCAAGAGCTGAGTCATCTTTGGACGAAGGCAGGGCAATATCTGGAGTGTTTTCAGATGCTATATAAGCAACAGGGCACCCAGTTGACTGCAAGTAGTCTTCGTTGCTTTGTTTAACTTCCTCGTTTGTTGGAACTCTACTGCCGTTTGTAACTGATCAAGTTCATCTATGGATAAATAGGCTCGATAAATAGACGCTGCCACGTAGGACGTAGCCTTAGTCAACTCATTTTGACCTATAATACTGAAGAAAAACGCGACCTTCGTTTTGACCCTTATCCCTTATCTTATACAAAAATAAATAGTTTTGGAGAGTTTAAATTTTAATCAGTTCATCCCTGGGCGATGATGAATCGTCCAAGAAAATTTTATCAAGATCGGACAACTCATTCTAGAGTTATAATGTTGACAAGGAATGCATGAAGTCAAGTGTTAGTCGTCACTCAGCTTCGCCTCTCTCCGACAATTACATAAAATTACAAAAAGAAAAACGAATAAGTGAAGATCTTATTGCCGTTCCTTCCCAACTCCGTTTCGTTGAGTTGTTTTCTTGTGTTTCACGACTCGATGTAATGAATCAGGTTCGTTGGAAAGCACACCTCCACACTCAAATTGAATATATTTACAGTTTATTTAAAGTAATAGAAAGTACAAGTTAGAAAACAGTATGACCATGCGTGGTGAATTCACGTGCCAGATTGGTGTCTGGGAACTAAAACCTTTGGAGAGACCTCAGTCAGATTGTGGAGTCGGCTCAACTGCACGGTCGGTCCGGTCTCAGCACTAACCCGTCCCTGAGAAGATCAACAGAGGAGAACACTCTCTCTTTACGCTCAGCGGGCTTCCCAAGTGCCTGAGACTACCGTGTACCAGTCTCTTGCCCTTCTCTCCTTGACCCTCGTTCGCCCCGCAATTTAAGGGATTTTGGAACGGGAACTTCCGACCAATCACAATCCTTTTTTTATGCCCGAACAGCTTAAACTCGGGTCCGCCGTCATCCGACGAGAGTGAAGCTTACACAAACGTCCGCCACTTGTTTACGTTCGTTTGCTTACCATTACCGTCTGACTGCAGGTGGGTCCAATTAACAAAGCCGGCGCTTCCTTTGTTTACCCTTGTTTACAAGTCAATACTTAAAAGTGGTATTACCCGACCGCACGTGGGTCCAATTGACAAGGTCGCGCCTCTTTTGTCCCCACTCCGCTAAAAGGTCACTACTTTACAGAATAGAATACAGTATTTGCAAAATGATTTTATTCGAACATTTGTTAAAAATTAAACACCGAAAATAAGCGAAATTTAATACGTTATTCGTTATTTACGAAAATATTGATATCATATTAATTTTATATAACTTAAAAAACATTTTTTTAAAACTCTTTCCGTCATGTGGGCACTAAAACGGCCTCTTTTAGAAAGCCCATTATGTGTTTGTCCAGGCCCACAATGGTGAGGGACGGGGCCCGACATATCCAGACGAACCATCCCCGAAAAATTTCTAGAAATTTATTCACCCGTCCGGATTCGAACCCGGGTCTCCAGAGCGGTAGGCTGCCACCTTGACCTTCGGTCATCCGGCCGAACTTAAAAAATATTGGACAAATCCAAAATCTAGAAATAAATAGTAATACGCTAAAACGGTTGTGCATTATATTTATTACATTTCACAATTTAATTTTCTTGGATACTTAACAGAAAACTATCATGGCGCTTTAAATGAACAGATCTGTAGCACTAATATAATAATATAAGCACATCATGTTTGATCATTACGAGAATTTGCTGTTAAGTTTGATCAGACTCACTTCAGAGCCAGCCGGTTGGTGAGAGACGGGACCCAACATGTTTAGTGCATCTCGATATAACGTCACTCTTATTAAGTGCCTCGCTTGTGAACGGATCTATGTTTGTTTGATGTAATTTTGGAAAAAATATAAAATTATGGTTACCTTATGCAATATCGACATCTCTTGGCAAGAATTAACTGACAAATGCATGAACGAAGTGTGGAAGAAGTTATAGCTGGAGATATCCAAGGGTTCTCACGAGAAGAGTCTATGGTTGACCAAATTGTCAACCTAATCAATACAGCAAGACTAGGAGATGTAAATGAGCAGGATATTGAGGAATTATTACTGCAGGTTTGTGGCGAGAGCCTTGCCAACGACGACCTTCAAAAACTGACAGAACAAGGAATTCATGTAGAACTGGAAAATAGTGATTCTCTTTAATCTTTAATCGCAAAAGACACTGTGGCCCGTTGGCCTTTTTCAAGTGCCAGAAAAAATGCAAGATAAACGAACAACAAACAACAAAGAGGGGAAAAAAACAAAAAATTCATTTCTGCGTTTTAATGCAAAAATGCAGATACGTTGATTTACCTGTTATAACATTTCTACTTTCAAGATCTGGCTAAGAGGTTTTTTTATGTTTGATTTAAATTTTTTCTTGTCAGTTATCTCTATGTAACAAATTCCAGTATTTTATCATTTGGAAAGCTAGAGCGGTTAGTCCTATTGAAAGTTTTGTAGAGGATTGTACTAATTAACGTTTACGTAACTAAACCATAACACGCATATTTAATATAACCAACGTTCGATGACGTCAGGTAAGCGCTCTTAAAATGGCGTCGGATAAACGAAATGTTACGAAATTTAGTAAAAATTGCACTGTCGGTCAATCGGAAACTTGGTCCGAAAATACTGGACGAACCAGAGGAATGATTTGTTCTAGTTTTGGGGGTGGCGACGTTCGATTATAGAAAATCTCGCTTCCAACCCCTTGTGGAGAGTGGAAACCGAAGACAGAGGGTGATAGGGAGTCTCTCGATCCCAATCCGTCGTCATTCGGGGGATAGAAACGTAAAAAATGCAGATATTTAGCCTTAAAATTCAAAAAGAATCCATGACGTCAATCGCATTGGAATTCNTCTATAATATTTAAAAGATGACTGTTATTCGTTTTACGCTTTATAAATTTAAAAGAAAAAAGTATAATTTGTTTTGCATATAATGTTTTTATGTTGTCAATTTTTTCTTTTTGATAACAATAGGAGATTGATTCATAGTACTTTAATTTAAAAATGGCTCTCATTAGATGATTTTGTTGTATTTGTAATCGGTTTGCGATATAATCAGATGTAATTCCCATATAATTATGCCATGTTGAATTTTCGGTTCTATATAGGTGTGATATAGTCGTATTATCGTATTTATATTCAGAAAGTCCTGTATTTTCCTAATTATACAAGTAAACTTAGCGACAGTCTTAGTTAAATTTTCGATGTGTCTATCAAATCTGAGTTTATCGTCTATCAAAACACCGAGATATTTTATGCAGTTAATTCTTTCTATCTTCTTTCCATTTATTTCAATTTGAAGTTGTTCCATGTCAACGATTTTATTTTTATTTACAAAGCAGAGCTCATGTAGTCAGTTAATTTACAAAGGACGTTATTTAAGGATGATTCTCAAAACGAAGAACCCAGAAACTTGTTATAGATTTCCTTAGTGAAAGTTCGGTAAGGATAACCGAAATCATTAATTAAATTGTAGCGAATGATCCAGACAGAACCTTCACCACAAAAATTTAAGTAAAATTTGTTTATTTTTGGTTGCATATTCCCCTTTTCCTATTTACTATGTGTTAAAATGACCTCGTTTAACGCTGTTTCATTTAGCGCTTTGTTGTCTAGGAACGTTAATTCTCCTAACTTTAATTACTTTTGTAATTTCTGTTTTTATTGGCATGTTTTCATTTCTTATTATCAATTGAAAGAAACAAGCAGCTCTTCGCTTACCATTCGTCATTTTCAGACGAACGACAACCCAGAACTCACCACGTGGAGGTGGTTGCTTCAGAGTTCCACCAAGAGTTGGAAAGAATGCAACTTTATAAGTGATTGACATCACTTGTCGAGTTTCATTCGTCCTAACTCACACAATGAAAATATTTATAATCTCCTCTGAATACATCAAATTCAACTATTGGAAACTCACCGTATCGTTACCATCTAAACTAATGGATATGATATTACAACAACTAGTAATAATGAAAGAAAGAAAGCCACTAAGATCCCAGGTCATAATAAAACGCACGTTAGGACCACAAAATTTACTTCAAACTCGTACCGAACCTTAATAAACAAAAAATTCTCGCCATGCGCGAAATTTAATAAAACGGGACACAGAAAGCTTTCTCCGCCTTTCCTCGGCATCATCTGTCTTCACCCGAGCGGACCTTAAAGATGTGGGACACAGAAAGTCTTCTCCGCCTTTCCTCGGCGTCTTCTCTTTTCACCCGAGCGGGTCTTAAACATGCGGGACACTCGGAGGACTCTCCATCTCCCGTCCGTCGGCCTCTTTACTATAGCGGGCCTTAAAGAAACGTGACACAGAGACCCATCTTCGCCCCGTCAGCATCTCCTGTCTTCACCCGAGCAAGCCTTAAAGATTCTGGACACAGAGAGCCTTCTTCGCCTTTCGTCGACGTCTTCACTTGAGCGGGCCTTAATTAAATGCGGGGCACTCGGAGGACTCTCCATCTCCCGTCCGTCGGCCTCTTTACTCGAGCGGGCCTTAAAGAAACGTGACACAGAGACCCCTCTTCGCCCCGTCAGCATCTCCTGTCTTCACCCGAGCGGGCTTTCTCCGCCTTTCGTCGGCGTCTTCTGTTATTACAGTGGTCACCTACAATAGAAAAAACGAACAATACATTGTAACAATTCGTTAGGTATTGTTCGAATATATTTTTAACAACGCGTGACGTATTACCGTGTTCCTCCGAAAATAAGACAGTGTCTTATATTAATTTTTGCTCTGAAAAATGCGCTAGGTCTTATTTTCAGGGAATGTCTTATTTTTTCCAGGAAGAAGAATTCACATTTATTATTGAACAAAAAAATTCCCAAATCGAACTTAGACGAGAGTGACGTATATCCGGTTTGTCGAACTGTCGCCTTTTTATAGCGTCAACATCGGACTCGATGACCAATTAGTGATTACTGAACCGTAGCACTATGCAAATGTCATGTG